ACAGTCAGTTACCCTATCGCAACTCTTGTTAAAATTTACTAATCAATGCTGGTTTGACCGATGTTGTCTCGGATCATGAAAATTTGAACTGCAAGTTCTGCCTGGTCTGCCTCTGCTTGGCTGCTAAATTAAAGGCCAAGCTGAAAACGATTCGGCTTGAAAATGCCGGCCTCGGTGATGCATCGGCTGATGAGATGTTCATAAATTCTCGTGTCCGGCCGACTCGGTGATATCCATGAACCATGACTACCATGTGGGTCTCGCCAGCTGACCCTGGTAACCAGAGTTGAGGGCCCTCGGCCGACCACCAACCCAGGCGAATTCAAAATGTCTGCCGACCTTGCATAGCCTAGCTGCTAATCAGAAGTGAAGGCCCTCGGCCGATCACCAGCCCAGCAACGTTCACAACTGTCAGCCGACCTTGCATCTTCCATCAGCCGATATACAAATACAATGTTCAAAACTGTCAGCCGACCTTGCATAGCTTAACTATCTGATATACAAATACAATGTTCAAAACTGTCAGCTGACCTTGCATAGCTTAGCTATCAGCCGATATACAAATACAGGGACTTGACTTCCCGGGGCAGCTTCCTACTGATCGGTGTATGCTAAATCTACGTAGCTGGCCGACCCTTCTTTACCTTGATAGTGGGATCACATCGGCCAATTCATCAACACAGGGTTATTGGCCCTCATCGGCCCATCAGCAGGCACCATCAACTATGGCCTGTTTGTATTGTCGGGCCTCTCAGTGTTGGTGGGTGATTCCTACTAACTGCCCTGAACCGAAATAGTTAATAGATTCCTTGAGACCATGGTAAGAGCGTTCATCGCCGAGAGTAAAGAGACTTGGGCGTTATGGCTACCGCTCCTAGAGTGGGCTTACAACGCTAGTGTTCACAACTCCACGGGGACCTCGCCAAATTTCCTGATGTTCGGATTCGAACCCAGGTCGCCGATTGACTTCTTGCTCCCTAAAGCCGTTAACGCAAAGGAAGTGAGAAGGACGAACTCTGAAGAGTGGCTCGCTCGCCTACAGATGCACAGGGACAGTGCCAGGCGCGCTATAGCCCACGCGCAACACCACCAGGCTCGGGAACACAATAAGGGTCGTAAAGTGCTACAGTTCAAAGAAGGCGACAAAGTATTAGTAAATCCCCATTCGTTAGAATGGGTAGAGTCTAAAGGGGAAGGCGCTAAACTCACCCCGCGCTGGATTGGTCCCTTCGAAGTCCTGCAAAAGATCAATCCTAACGTGTATCGGCTACGAATGGGAGACAACTATCCAGGTTCCCCAGTAATCAACATACAACATCTAAAAAAATACGAGACAGACACGACTCACCAAGATCGCACTTCTTTACCCAATTCATTCGTTCGCAAAACCAAATCCGAAGAATTTGAAGTGGAAAAGATTGTGGGGCATAGAAGAGTTGGAAAAAGGGCGACACTTCAGTACTTGATAAGGTGGGCGAATTACGGGCCGCAGTTTGACACCTGGGGCACAGCCACTGATCTGAAGAATTCCCCGATCCTACTCAATAACTATCGCGCCAAGAACAATCTTTGAGTCGCGTCAAGTCCGAATCTACTATGCATTCCTTTATTTTCTTCACTCATATCTATAAGTACGCTTTTGAATAATTTTCTTTGCTAAAATTTTTTTTTAAAAAGAACAAACGGAAGGGACACATGCAAGGCACTATCAGATTCCAATCACTTCCATCAATCAGCCTCATGTACATAGAAAACCAGGAGCAGCCTTGCGACCCCCTTCTTTCCTCCTTACTTTCCTACTCCTTCCGTCATTCGTTGGGACTGTCCACGAGTGAAAGACTGGAGGAAGGCGTACCTTGCAGCGGACTGTCCTGCTTGATATTGCCCTCATGGATCACTCAATTCATCACTTAAACCCCCTCACTACGGCATCAGTTAGAACCGATCCCGACGCAATATGGATAGGATTGAATTCGGATACCTCCCTCATCCCAGACGCCGCCATAGCCTTCAAAGATCTGCCAGACCCCTGCTGGAGCATCGAGGACTTCTCCGACGCTGGTCACATTCTGCCCATCGACAGCGCTAGGGATCCGGACTGGTACAGAGAAGACGAGCAATGGGCCGCGTGGACCCCTACCTCTTCCCTGCTCAAACAGAGACCGTGGTACGATCAACTCGAAACAGCGGTCCCCGTAGAGGAGAGATTGGGTGGATGGTCAATGGCAGAGCACCAACGACAGATCTGCGCGACCGATTTGACACGAACTCAGAGCTGCATACGCTTCATTGTCGAATTTGACGACCGCTTCCCCCCCCGAGCGAAAGTTCCACCCTTCTTCCCACTGGATCGCCTTGCCAAGGTCTATCCAACCCGGAAAATGGTCCAGATTAGCGCAGCAAAAGCGAAGCGCTCAGTCTTACATGCGCTAGCGTTTCTGTCATGGTGGACCATGGTGATCATTAGTTGGGAAGAGAACTTAGCAGACGGTGCGGTGAGTATCATCACCTACCTTCTCTCCACTGTCAAGGGAAAGAGAGGCATCATTTGTGACCTAGAAAGGGACTGGCCAACCATCAACATTCCGCTCTACATCCAGAACAATATCCCCGTCTTCTATCTATGGAACTTCGAGGCAAGAGTCGACAATCGCTTCAGCCGCCTGAACCCTGCCCTCAATCTGACCTACTGGGCAGTCAGGCAAGGGACTGCGCTAACGCTCTCCGCTGACATCGAAGAGGAGGATCTCAACAAGATTGCGCGGCAAGCCCTCAGGCTCGATCACTTCTTCCAGGAAGCCTTCACTTACCGCTCATTGGACGACTTTCGAATTTCCCCCACCTACTCCTTCTTCATCATAGATTTCGAAGGATGGAAGCGTAGGCCAATTCCATACGACGAAAACACCATCACCTCTCTCCTCAAGTTCTATTACTACAACGTGTTCGACGAAGATGGTAACAACGACCATAGAACCGTGGTATTCTGGAGATGGCATAAACGCGAACCCAGGGACGACTATCTCAAGCGCCAGTACAAAGTTGGCCTATCCGGTGAGGAACAGGCCGGGACGATTCGAGAGATTCACAAGTTCAGCTACGGTCCCAAGCCAAGCATCTCGTATGATATTGAGACTGGCCTTATCACAAGGAAGAAGACGCCATCACAGAATACAACCTCCCTGTTACTGCGGATGAACATGGATGAGACTGGAACTAACAGATCGCTACAAGGACGTCTATCGGACAACGCGCAATCCGAAATGTCCATCGATTCAGGAAGCGACTCCTCGGAAGAAGATGCCACCAGATTCCCAGAGGTGCCCGACATTCTATATCACCCACGAGCAGTTAATAGCCCCGCAGCCTGGATTCGTCGCAACGAAGAACTCCTAACAAGTGCTCGCCGCCACACTGCCGAGCTCCGTACAGCTCGTGGAGACAACACCACGCCGCTTTGCCGCTCCCAATCCCCAATTCGCCTATCCGACCCCTACTTTTCACCCCACGAGAGTCCTGAAGTTATGTTTAGGCGCCTGCTGAAGGATGAGTCCGCGAAAATCACCTACACCGCGAGCACCTGGTGCGCACCGCACTACGCATGGAACTCGGACTTCCTCGAAGCAGCTTTCATCTTCGTCCCGGACATCGAAAGCGAGGCTCGTATGCGATACTGGGCGAACTGTTGGGACACGACAGCGACGATCCAAAGGCTCCTCACGACGGCAGTGGAGCATGGCCTACGATTTTACCTTGCCTTGCCACCAGACCGTGTCAGGCAATTCCGACCACTAGTTGTTGACAGTCTCGATAGGAATTCAGCGTCGTTCTTGTACAGCACAGGTTTTCAGGAGCAAACGTTATCACCCATGGACAACGGCGCCACCTTTTGCTCAACTTACCTAGCCAAAATGAACGACATTCTGAGACGTCCACACGCCCGCGCATTCATAGCTGAAGGAGGGCAAATCAGCTGGATAGCCCGACACTGGGCTGGTACTAGACTTATGGAAGAATTCATGTCCGGTCCATCAATCCAAGTCACTATCCACAGCCGGGGCTTTTACGACTCCGCTTCCGAAAACGCATCCTACTTAGCGCATGACATCGTGTCAGAACAGGAGAAGGACCTTCTGCTTGGCTATTGCCTGGGGTCCAACGGCTGCCTAGGACGATGGCTCTTTCCACCAGCGGATATCTTTGACGACAACTTCGAACTTTGGACAGGAGAATGGAACTCGGCCCTTGACCACATCTACGGACGACTAGCGGAGGACATAGCTCGAGGCCGCGCGAAATTACGAACAAGGGAGAAGTGGAAGTGCTGGATTAGAAACAACGTGCGAGGACAACGCCGCCCTAGCTATCTCCCTTCACGATCCGATTTCAACGATGTTATGGAAGGAATCACCCGCACGGGCCTGGAGCCGACTTGGCACAAGAAACAAATCGATGACATTGTATTCCCTGAACGACGAATGGATTAATCGGGAACCAGAAAGTGGGGGGCTTTGTAGCATGCAAGTAAGATCCTACTCCTATATCCTTTCCGCTCCCCGAAGTCTCCCCTTTATGCCTACTTACTTTGTATTATGTCATGCTTTACATAAGCATTGTAGTTATACCTCATGTAGTACATGAGGCAATAGTATCTCTTTTACCACCACCTGCAAATCTCGTATCGTTCGGATACAAAGGCCCTACCAACAGCTTTGCTCTGAACTCTGAGAAACCACAAGTAGGCATCGAGAGGAATCGTTTACGCAATCTCCACAGGGACTGTCTGTGGAGATCGGAACACGGGTACGCTGAACGGTCACGTTCCACGACTCCGAGCGCACAACGATTCCGTTTGGATCAACTAGGTGAGTCTTCACACCTCTGTACGTCGCGTTCGCTAGGTGCCCCAACGACTGTCCCACTACCCGAGTGATTCCTACATCAAGTAGCGCTCACAGCGGTATCCAATCGCCCCCGACAAATCTTCGCTTGAAGGACAAATTTATCGTCAATGGAGTGGTAGTTCCAAGGAACCGACAGTTGAGAATGAAGCCCGAATGGATAAGAGGTGTGTTCGCTTTTGCCAGGTGGAAAGGGGAGATGAATTCCAACGCATGAGGTGTGTTTTCCCATTCTAGATTTGACCCTTGTGGTGCCCATACGGCTTCTGCTCCTCTCAGCCTCTCTCGCATCCTCACTATCCGCCAGATCGATCACGTCGCGCATACCGACACCTTGCTGAACCTCTTTCCGGCTTCCGCTCATCTCAGCCACCTCTCTTGCATCCTCACTATCCACGAGATCGATCATTTCGCTCATGGCGACGCCTTGCACGTTGCTATCCAAGATATCAATCATGTCGCGCATAGCGCTCTCTTGCTGAACCGCTGTACTTGTGCTTGGAAATCTGATGAATCTCGTAAGGTGCGCTGACATGCTAGATCTCTGGCACGTACTCATCGTCGATGGCCTTTAGCAGATTCACACACTTCGTCTCAATCAATGCCCCCTCCAGTCCACGGTTCATGACAAAGAAGTCCATGAATGCCACGAACCCGTCAATTCCATTCTTCCCCTTCCTCGCCATTCCCTTCATTCCTCCGTTGTCTATCCCCAACCAAAGGCTTGCTTCAATAGCAGGTTCAACACTTCCTCCCAGTCATCACGCTCATCGTTCAAGTAGGCGGCTGGATCCCCTGCAAAGACTGCCAGGGGGTGAGCCCCATCGGCGGGCGGGACCTCGTTTGGTATTCTTTCAACGCTGACCCTGAGCTTTGAAAGTAAGGTCATGGCGAGTGGGCAAGGCTCCCTTTGTGTTTTTGCACCTTGGGATATGCTCGGGCGCGTGAGTCCGATTGTCGAGCTGGACACCACTTGTACTGTTGAATGAAGGAGCGGGGGCGTGCTTGTCGTTGGTGGATTTAGAGGGATTTTTGGTCCAAAAAAGGAGCGAATGGATGGTATGTTTTTTTGCTTTCTTCTCGAGGAGATGGCGGCTTCGCATGCTCTCGATCCGATATGCTGTTCCAGATTTGCTTTACCGCCTGTACCAACAGGAATGTCCTCCTCACATTCTGGGCACCGAAGCTTGCTGTCGCTCGTAAACACCGACTCTTTTCTGTAATATATTATTGCTTTTGATTAGATATATAATACAGACACTTACTTCTTCTTAACCATACTTTTTGTGAACCTGAGTAGCGTTGCAAAAAAGTTTGTTGATTTTTTTGGCTCTCAGTCACAATTTTGGACAGTAAATACGTAAATTAGGTGTTTGCCGTGCATCTGAACTTCCTAACTTCTTTGTGAGCGTTATTTGGGCTTATTGGAAGGACTTTTCTGAGGTAGGTCCCAAAAAATATTTCGACCCCCTAGCGGACCCCCCCCCCTAACCCTATATGCAGGATCCACGTTCCGCCACCCCCTTGGGAAAGACATTATGTGCAGTGCGATCGATCCCCGACTATTTATACGGAATTTTCAAGAACGAGAAGTTCTACAAGGTGGGGTAATATTCTGCTTAATGAGAACGTACTCACTTAAAGGCCCATGAAGCTTGTCCAAGAGCTTGCGGCGCAGCGGGAGTGATTATCTAAGTGAGTGCTGTGACACTGCCTGACTGATTTGGACGAATCTGGCTGATTTACTAAATGCGGAATTGACCCATTTGGGTTGCTGATGGTACAAGGTCGGGGGAGTGGGATGTCTGCGGGATGCGCCAGTTGCAGCCCCTTGAACCGTGGAGTAATTTCAATCTTGCGAGGACGTGGATGCTATTTGCTCTTTCACTTCCATGAGATATATATAAGTGATGGTGGAAATAGACGCTTTGCTTGAGAAGTTTCCAAGTGCCTGGGTATCAATTCTTCCGGCAACATGTCCACTGGCTGGAAACCTCTGGAGACTGGAGCGTAGAGCTGGAGACTGGAATGTAGAGCTGGAGACTGGAGTGTAGAGCTGGAGACTGGAGTGTAGAGCTGGAGACTGGAGTGTAGAGTCAAGGGCGTTCAGGAGTGTTCCTTTGACCTTGAGCGTGGTGAGAGTTTGAAAGATATGACGATCACCCTGCACTTATCCCAGTTGCACTTATTCCAGTCGCACGAGTCCACCCTCGATCCCTCTAGCTCGATCCCATCAAAGGAAGCTTCGTTCGTCAGATGCTCCCGCCGACAAGTTTCGTTTCGGAGAGCTGTCAAGCGTCGGCAGCCTGTGGCCAGGAATAGTTAACTAGAAAATTTAATACAATATTTCGCTGGTCACGTGTAAATCATTTGTCACTCGTACACTTTTGTCAGATGTTTCCTTAGTTGCTTTCTGTTTTTCTAATCTAAAAATCACATTGAATAATGTTGTGTTTTGATAGACAACATCTACATAGTTTTTTTATTAGCTTGTTTGGATGGATTATCATGAACGATTTTGCAGGAATAAATAAATGTATGTAAGCCCTAAATTTTAGAAAGTTATCGGTGAAATTATTATGTTCCTGGTTTACACTTTATTTTTCAAATAGAAAAACAAAAATCTTCCTTGAGGTCTACCACTTTGGCAGTGACATACACAACCATATGATTATTTTTTGATAAGATGATTTGATTAAATTAACTGTAGCAATATCAATAAGCGTTTTAGCAAAGCCGTCATGCCGTGAGAACAGCGGCTAATGCCCAAAAGAGGTTGATGCGCCGACTTCTTCTAAGTACTTTGATGCAGCTTTGGAACGCTTCGGGCCCAGCCTCTACGCTTCCTGATTTCATTTGGAGCTTATTGAGTTAGAGTCATTGACTCTCCCCTCCAGTCGCACTTGTCCCAGTCCAACGTGAACGATATAAGTACGCGCAACTAAGTAGTACCTACTCTGCTCTATATACATCCTCTGCTGTCACCGTTTCAAGCGCCGAGCAATCTCACGATGAGGGATGACGCGCTGACGTAGAACCGAACCAACAATCAGGATTGACCATGAGCACACGTCGATAAGGGCCTCGGTGCCAATAATTCGGAACAAGAGATTGGGATGACAGGACCAAGAAATCGGTGCCAGGAATTTGGGATGACCGGACCAAGAGATTTGCATAGCATGGCATGGTGGATACTTGGTTTTGGTGGTACAAATATGTGCAAAGCAGATACCCGACCAGCATCTCAGGTTGGCCCGACATAGTACAACACGTCCACCAAAAAAATTCCAGAACTCCAAATAGCATGCAAAACTACATTGAGCAGACTCCTCTAGATGTTCTAGGCTGGAAATTGTAAGGTTGAACCTTCAACACAAAAGGTCAAATATTATATCATTTAGCCTTTATGATGTGTGGGAACTTGAAGGGCGAACTCCTTGAAATCTCTGAGAGTTCGGAGAAGGAGTCCTTCTCCAAAGGCGCTGCGAAAATCATGAAATGATTTGATGAAAGAGTCTTAAAAAAGGAGGCTACTCCAAAACTCTCCAAAGCTTGCTTCCCCCATCCTACTACTAGTAAATGTTTTCAACCCTTCAAGAGTATCACCAAGCAATCATCTCAGCAGTGTGGATGATCATTCTATCCCTCATCCCGCAAGACCTAGTGCGGGCTGGAGCCCTCCTCCTCGGTGTTCTTATATGTTTGCACACCATATGCCCACGATCCCTCATGAAAACACTTCAACTTCGCCTGTCATTATTGGAGGAAAAATTACAGGATGCTGTCGATAGTGGAATTATGCGTCAATCGGATACAATTTTCACCAATCAACTCACGAGGGACATGGGAAGGTGGGTCGCCAACATCGTTTCATAAAACAACATGCTTACTGTGTCCACAACATACGCTCTTTAGAATCCACTACATGATCTATGAGCTCTACGAGAGGACACTCATAATGTCGGGCAGATTTTTTCGGGAGATAAAGGCCATCTGGGAGGGTCTCTCACTCGAGATTAATGAGTGCATTCGTGATGTTGATGCCTTAGAAAGGGACCTTGAAGTATGTTCTTCCGGACCGTTGCCCTCCCCAGTTTGACATGATGCACAGATAAACCGTGCAAAAATTCTGAAAAACCAATATCATTCGTGGAGGTGAAAGACCGAACTGAATATATACCATACCTTTCACGATCCATCACTGTTCTGCTTGACCCCTTCCCATCGCTATGTTGTCTGCGCTTTCCTCCTGCTTGCTGCTCACTAGAACGTAATCATATGTGTTTTCCATTGTTATGACTTCTGCGTTTTTCGCCTAGGCAGGACACTCTACCCTCTTCTTCATATGAATATTATGAAATTAAAAACCAGCGGAATTGGAGCATACGGATCGAGACCGCAGTTAGATTCTTCACTTCAAAATGAGCAATCCCAACAACGCGCATAAGAACGCCAGCGCCTTCGCCAACAACATCGCAAACCAAGTGGGCAAGGATAGAGACTGTTGTGGAAGGGCGAAGCTGGAGTTTACCCCGCGTAGTCTATAGGCAGAGACGTTGTCGCAGAATTAAAGCTGTTATCGCGCCAGTGAGTTGTGAGCGTTGTCATAGACCTTGGAAGCGCGGTAGGTTCTAGCTGTTGTTTTCACCAAACCCCAGCCTCTGATTCGCAGAGACCGACCCATCCTCCTCCAAGACTGCCAGTGGCTTGACAAAGTCGGTTCACAACCACAGCTAAGCCTGTTTGCGCGCAATGGACTCCCATCCACTCATAATGGGTACAACACATCCATGCAACGTCACGTGACATGGCGCCCCGTCCAAGAAGATCAGGAAAGCTTTGAAACACGTTGCGCGACAGCTAAACCATAACATGCATTGGGTCAGGACCGCAGGTGGGTGAAAGATGAGGTATGGAATGCAGCTGGGAGGGATTAATCTTGCAGCTTCGTTTGCGGGAGTTCATTTTGGGGAGGGAAGGAGATTGAGGGGGAGATTCCGAAGCCTGATAAAACACCTAACCCGCATGGGTAGATTTTGGAGGGTGTTGGGTGTCGACCAAAAAAGAGAAGGATTCCAGTGAACGAACGTGAACCATGACTGAAATCGTTCTTGTTGTGGAAGTCAAAGCAAGTCCCAATACTGAGTGTAGCTTTTACCTACCGAAGAATGGAGCAATTTGGTCTTGAATCATTGCTCAAAAGGCGGTGCCATCTTGCCCAGTAGTATGAAAGTCATAAGGATATCGATGACGATTCCAGACCGAAAGAAAAACCGATTCCAAATCTCTTGATGTAGTCGTTCAGAGGCATGTTGAAGGGGACGGACTGTAGCATGCAGAAAGTGCTTCCTCAAGCAAGGCAGTGCCACAGCTGTGCAACGTGTCAGTGTTTCTCTTGGGGAGACGACCTGGCCAAACGTACGCTGAAGCTCAAGACGATCATCTTCCTCAACATAAGACCTATAAAACTAATGAGTCGAGCACGAAAAGATCACTATGAAGTGGGGCGTACAAATTGGTCATGAGCAGCAAGGTGCGCAGACTGGTCCGTTGATCTTCTACCCTCTTGATAACGTGGATTTCCGGTTTTTGTCCTCGATCTCTTCACTATCTTCACTAAAAGGTCCATCCAGAAAGACGGGGAGCAGCAACCAGGGGCGGCCGTGAGAAACATGGCCGCTGGAAGTCCTGGACTTCGGGAAGCAAGCAGGCTTCAAGCATTCCGATGGTGCTGCACAATGTAAGGTTGGGAAAAGTCCTGTGTTTGCTGGTGATTTCCGTTCATCAGGAATGGCATCTGCAGGGTATCTTTGGCGTTCTCCGAAAAGTTACATTGCGGTAACCTCAATGTGGACCTAACGCGAAGATTGGTCGAAAGTTGGCATTTGCACCAGCATGCCTTGAATACAAAATCAGTCATTCTTCCTGGTAGAAAGGTAAAACACTTGTATTGACCTCTATGATATTCATCTACCACACTTGACCGTTCGATCCAGGTGAAGTCCATGTAATTGTGGTATCAAAAGACCAATGTGCGCATGATTGGTATCGATAATGGCATCGGGAGATGCTTCTGGCCAGGACGTCGGCTGCTTAGAAATATAAACGGGGTTGCGGAGACACCTGTACACGTATAAAATAGGTGGATCAGTTGCAAGACGAAGTCAACGGACCTGACTCTCGCGCATGACCAACCCACGCAACCTGCGCAACGCAGTCCTCTTCCCTGACCACCAGAGCCTCGACGTCGTAGATACCATGGACTACCTGAACAGCCACAGCCAAACCTATCTCGCAAAAATCCCCACCGTCCAGCTCCTCCTCGCGAAAGCGCCTATCTTGACGGAGGTCTTTACCATCCCCCATGAGTTCCAGCGGATTCCAAGTGGAATGTCGGAATTCCATGGAATTCCGACGGAAACTAGTTGGCTGGAGCCTCAGCCATTCTGGTTTCCAATTCCACAGAAATTCCAATGGATCCGACGGAATCTGGTGGAAATGGTCGGAATCCGGGAGCCTCCCGGAACAGTTTCCATTGGAATCCATTGGAATTCCAACCAGATTCCATGGAATTCCAATGGAAAGTATGTTCCAGTCAAATTCCAACAGATTCCGAGAGATTCCAATGAATTTCAATATTTGTTGTTGTTATTATAATATATAAAAAAATAAGTGGATGCATAAGGATTGAACTCTAGGCTCAGGAAGTGTCACGTGAAGTCCAAGCAGCAATATTTCCACTACACCATACGGCCGTTCAAATTCTACAAACATTTATTCTATATAACCCACCCTCACGCCCACCTTCCTAAACGAGTCACGGCGTTTGCCGACGTCACCATCAGCATCTCTGTTTTGCTGTCAACCACAACCACAACCATAACCACAACCACCACCACCGTCGCCGCGACCAGCGCGGTCACCTCGAATCACGCCCACGCCAGCGGACAACGACGACGACGACGACGACACGTCAGCGACGACGAGGCCGGCCACACGACGACGGACGACGACACGTCAACGCACGACGAGGCCGACGACACGTCAACGCACGACGACGACGGACGACGACGACGCGTCACGTCAACACACGACGACCACGCACGACACGTCAGCGACGACGAGGACGACACGTCAACGGACGAGGACGACGACACATCAACGGACGACGACGACGACGACGACGACGACGGACGAGGACGACGACACGACACGTCGACGGACGACACGTCAGCGACGACGAGACGGCCGCACGTCAACGGACGACGACGAGCCCCCTCCCTTTTCCCTCCCCCCTTCCTATTCCCTCCTCCTTCCTATTCCCTCCCCTTTCCTTTTCCCTCCCCCTTCCTTTGTCCTCCCCCTTCCTTTGTCCTCCCCCTTCCCTGTCCCTCCCCTCCCTCTTCCCTTTCCCTTCCCTTTTCCCTCCCCCTTCCCTTTTCCATCCCCCTTCCCTTGTCAATCCCCTATTTCTTGTGCCCCCCTCTTCCTTTTCCCTTTTCCCTTCCCCCCTTCCTTTTCCCTTTTCCCTTTTCCCTTCCCCCCTTCTTTTTTCCTTTTCCCTTCCCCCCTTCTTTTTCCCTTTTCCCTTCCCCCCTTCCTTTCCCTTTTCCCTTTTCCCTTCCCCCCTTCTTTTTCCCTTTTCCCTTCCCCCCTTCTTTTTCTCTTTTCCCTTCCCCCCTTCTTTTTCCCTTTTCTCTTCCCCCCCCCTTCCGTTTCCCTTTTCCCTTTTCCCTTCCCCCCCCTTCCTTTTCCCTTTTCG